CACACCTTTAAGTCTAAATAACAATGTCAATATATTATAAAAACATATGATAACAAAATAATGTAATTAATATTTAAAAAAAATAAAAATAAAAAAAAAAATTGAAAAACGGCCGTGGAGCTTATCATCCAATTAGATGTTGACCACTTAGCCTAACAAAATCAAAGAAACAAAAATCTTCATGAAAAAACCAATAAATGCACCATAAGTCCTAGTTGGGGCCCAAAATTGTTTGATCGTAGTCACATTTACGCCGAGAACTTGGCCCTTAATCTACCTGACTCATGTTATTAATGCGAGTATCAATCTCATAAAATACCTGCAACCTTCTTCACCATACCTGTCTAACATTAACAAAATCGAGACGTGGACTGAAAAAAAACAAAAAAAAAGATGGTGTGAATAATGAATGTGGACGAGAAAATAATGGGAGTTGAAGAAAAGAACAAAAAAAAAAAAATATCGTGGACTGCAACAACTGCTAGTATGTGGAGCTTTAGCGCATAACTCTAGCAGAAATAGCTAAAAACTATGGACTGTGAAGGAATTGTCGTTCCCAAAAAAACAAAGAGTGAAAAAACAGGAAAAGAAAAAAAATGAGACATTTGATTTCCGGCTAGAAACGAAGAGGAACCAAACTGATTGACAAAGAAAGGGGTATAGGTATATGTGGTGTACAGATAGACGAGCTATGATAATTCTTTGGATTGATATTTGATTGTTGGCGTTCTAAAGATAATTTCGTTTTGGGTTCAGTATTATTAACTTGAAAGTTGTAGCTATGCATTTATGTGAGATGTGTAAGGACCTGAGCAAAAATTTCACGTATTTGTTTGTTGTGTCCGTTCTTTGCGTTATAGTTCTATGTTGCTTGGAGACAAGCAACAGTTTAAGTTTAGAGAAATTTTATAGTTCTATGGTCTAATTAGCATATTTGAGTATTAGTGTTTTATTTTGTGAACGAATATACACCAATATTTGAATTTTACATCTATTTTGCATTTATGAGGCCTATTTGTGTCGTGACATTGATGAGGTGGCAAATTAGATAAGTAATGATGTGGACTATGCTGCACTGGCCGAGTTTGAAGAGAGTTTAATTTAATTTGGTCTGATTTAGATGGGAGGAATTGAGAGTTGGATTGGAATTGGACTCTTAAAAGTTAAAATCCTTGAAGACTTGCGTGAAATTAAAGGAAACAAATCCTTATTTTTATAGGAAAAAATCTATAGGGACAAAAAAAAAAAAAAATATATATATACATATATATATATATGAAACAAAAACGCGGGCCTCCCCCTTATTTCACTTTTCTCTGCATTCGCCTTCACCGCGCCGCCGATCTCTCATCGTCGTTGTCCTGCGCCGACGTCGGCTCTCTCTCACTCGCCTGGTACCCACCCACCTTCCCTCTTATGCTTCTATTAATTTTTGCTGCTTCTTGAAGGAATATGTACGGACGTGGGGTTTCGAATTTGGGTGATTGTTGAATCATGTTTCTTATTTTCTTGAAAAAAAATTCAAATTATTTGGAAAATTGATATCAGCACAGCTAGAATTGAATTCAAACGGTGAGGAGATGCAAGAATTTGGTGAAATTGTACCAATGATTTTTTGGTTGTATTTTTGATATTTTTTTTTTTTTTTTTTTT